TTGACCAATTTATCCTTTGAACAATTGTTCATACACATATTAATTAATATATTAATTAAATTATTGTTTATTTAATCTCATTTAATAATAACCGTTAGATGAGAAAATGAACGATTAAGATGGGTTAGCATAGTTTGCACAAAATATTGGGTTAGTATTTGAACCAGCCCCTATATATATGCATAGACTTGGGATCATGTGAGACCAATAGTTTTTCGTGAGACCCGTAAGACCAATTCTCAACCATTGGATTAGATTTACAATCGTCAGATCTAAACATTCATAAACGCCACGAGACTTCTCAATAATTACAAAATTGCCACCTTGCAATTTTAGACCATTAGATCATTAGATCATAAAGTTGATCAATGAACATAAATTGGTCTTACGGGTCTCACGAAAAAACCTTGGTCTCACGTGAACTCAACCCCTATATATATATATATATATATATATATATGGGGTTTCATTTAGAATACAATTATCAGTGTAAATTATACATTTAACAACATCTTTTATACATAAAATTGTTTATTGATTCATATTACTTAAAATTCAAGATTACAAGTAAATTGTGCGTAAGAACGACTTATTAAGCTCCATGTTTGAATTCGTGTAAATAACTGTAGATAAATATAATAAAATACAGAATAAAAATATTATTTTAAATATAAAATCCAAAATATAATATTGGCTAACAGAATACTTAATTATTATATTTATAAAAATCTTACCATTCAACCAAAAATAAATTACTTCGATATTAAACCTAAATTAAATTATAATTAAAAACTGAATTAAAGAAATTACACAAAAAAATGAGAACTTTTATAATTTTTTAATTTTCATGATATTTTTAAATTTATATTTTATCAAGAAAAACATTATTGTTTGCTCAAAACCACATAAAACCATATTATAACGTCGACGAAGACCACAAAAACAAAATGAAACATTGAAATCGAGATAAATATTGCTGCATTATGCGAGTACCATTCTAATAATACAGTATAAATATAAAATATTTTAAGATATGGTCAACAACAATGTAGGTCCATGGTGGGTCCCACTTTTGGCATCCTAGAAACCATTAGAACCATCATTTCCATATTGACCTATAAATACATCATATGACCCTTATCAATATTTTCAAACAATTATATTATGAGAGTGATTGAATTCAGTAGTTTCTCGTATAAAATTACTGATTCTATAGATGATATTGATCCATAAGAAGCTCAGGTATTCGTATAATATTACTGATTCTAGAAATGATATTGAATTCAGTAGTTTCTCGTATAAAGTTACTGGGTCATGTTTATTCGTTTCGTGGAAAAAAAGCAGGAAACGGTAGGTTTACATTCGTTGCATCTTCAGTTAATGAGCAACGACTGGTTAAACACGAAATACAGATTGACAAGTTGCGTAGAAGCAGTGGAGGTGATGTTGTTGACAGAAGATAGAGAGCACAGATGACGAAGGTGTAACTGTTGACGTGCATCTTACTCATTTGTGCTCTCTATGCTTCTGTCATCATCACGTAACCTTTTTTTTTTTTGCCTCTTCTTCTTCTTCTTCTTTAATTGAAGATCAGTTTCTGGTAATTTTGAAATCTTTTTACTGAATTTCTATATCAGTTTCGAGATATTATCAGGTATATTTTCACTAACAGTTGACAAAACATTTTCTTTTCTGATTTTTTTTTGGTTATAAACGTATGTGGGTGCATCAATGAAGATTTAATGATAACGTCGCAACTTAGTGTTTTTCATGGCAAGAGTTTTTTTTTTTTTTTTATTAACCTAGATATCGACTAATCCTGGAACGATCATCTGTTTTGCGGGTAGCTCGAAGTCACCACATTTGAACATCCATGGCCACAAGGGGATTTTTATTCTCTTTGTATTTGAACTTAAGACATCCTGACACTTTTGACCTTTAGAACCCAAGTTCAAACTAATTAGACACCACCCTTGTATTATTTTATCTGAGTAGTATTATGATATTTTATAGTTGTATTTCTTTAGGTATTTAAAATCCAATTCAATATCTAATTAGGATAAAATTACCCTTTATTATTATTATAATTTATTATAATTATTATTGTATTAATTATATTATTATTAACTTTTTTAAATTACATTTTTTAATTAGAATTAATTTTCAAAATTGTAATTTTTACATGTATTAAATTGCATGGATATTTTTTTTTTTATTAAATTGGAGTAAAAAAATATATATTAAATCAATATAATTAAGGAATTTTATTTTCTATATTTTTTATTACATTATAAATTAGTAATATAAATGTAAAATTATAAAGTAGTTGTTTATGTAGTCGTAAAACTAGGCATGAAAACAGGGTCAGGATGGGGCGGATTTTGTAATCCTCGGCCCTGGCTCCGACCCCGGTCTTTGACGGGTAACGGGATTAACATCCCGTCCCCGATCAAAACGTAGTACGGTCCCCAGTCCCTGACTCAAGACCCGTTCCCCGACCCGGTCCAATCTATGTTTCCTAATACAAATACTCTTGTAGTCCAACAGCAAGAGAGGCCCACCATCAGAATTTCCAAAGCCAAAGTACTTATAAAATGAATATTAGTATACCGGGTACGGGGGTTGGGGGGTACCGGGTGGGAGGGGGGTACAATACTCCCGACCCTAACCCCGGTTTCAGTCTACCGGAGATCCCCGTCCCCGGGATCCATTTTAGTGGGGAATCCCCATCCCCGTTTGGGTAGGGTGAGCCGGGTTTCCCACTAGCTCGGGGAAAATCACCATCCCTATGTAAAACAACTTATTGGAAGTAGTTTGTAATTTCATAATCACACATATATATATATATATATGTATATATGTATTTATGTATATGTATATATGTATATATATATATATATGTATATATGTATATACACAGAGGTTGGTTATTATACAACTTTTGACATTTGTGCAATTAATACAACCCAATCTCAACCGTCCATTTCATTTGATTAATATGTGATTTCATAGAAGTTATGATTGTTTCCTAATATAAAGTATTGATCATAATTAATAATCATATTCATCTTCCATAAATATTCAAATCATAATAAATGAACTCTCATAATTTCCATAAATATCTCAATTTATTGGGCTGCATTAGTTGTACAAATGCAATGAGTTGTATTTGAAACAAACTCTATATATACATATTAGAATGGTACTCGTACAATACAGCGAGATACATCTCGATTTTAATGTTTTTTTTTTGTCTTAGTCGACGTTATAATACGGTTTTATTTGATTTTGAGGAAAATATGTTCTTATTTTTGATAAAATATAAATATGAAGATATCATAAAAAAATATTGATATTAGTGTCAAACTAACTATTTATTTGTTTTTTATTTTTAGTTTAATAATATAATTTTTTATAAAAATAATAATTAAGTATTTTGTTAGAACTCAATGATTATTCTAATTATATTTTAGTTTTTTTTAAATTTAAAATGAAATGTTTATCCTCTATTTGATTATGTTTACATGAAGTTAGTTACACGAATTCAAACATGAAACTTTAATAAATTGCATTTACGCACAATTTACTTGTAATCTTGAATTTTAAGTAATACGCATCAATAAACAGTATTTCATGCATAAAAAATGGATTTTTAAGAGTTTTTGTCAAATGCTTTATAATATAGTGTGTGTGTGTGTATATATATATATATATATATACACACACACATAAAAAGAGAGAGAGAAGTTCAAACGAAAATTTGAACATTTTGCGAGAAAACAAGAAGTTTCAATATCATATATGATCAGACACATGAATGATACACAAGCTTAATTATATATGAGTAAATATATGTTGTATTGACAATACATAGATGTTTAATCATATATGATTAAACACACCCCAAAGAAGTGTAATCATAATGATATTAAAAACTTCTTGCATGATCTCTCTCTCTCTCTCTCTCTCTCTCTCTATATATATATATATATATATTATGTGATTTGTTAAAAATGACTTATAGTTTCGAAATTACAAGATGGCCATAGTGATTTATAAAAATGTTCAGATTTGGTCATTTCCCCTAACAGCCGCTAAAAATTTAATTAAAGAAAGGCATTTTCGTCTTTTTATCGATTTCTTTTGTATTTTATCCAACTAAAATCGAGTTTATGATTTTGGTCCTATGGTTTTTTTAGGTAAAAGACAAAAAAAATCGATAAAAAAAATGAAAATACCCTTTTTTTAATTAATTTTTTTAACAGCCATTAGAGAAAGGAACCAAATCCTGATGTTTTTATAAACCACAATAACCATCTTGTAATTTCAAAACTAAGGGGACAAAAAATGTTAATTCTAACAAACCACAAGGACTAAATTTGTAGTTTACTCTAAAAAAATTACATGTCTTATCCATGTAGTTACATCTTTTCAACTATCTTGTCCCTTCTTTTAAAATTCAACAGATTGTGTCCCCGTTAAGGATGGTGACCCCCGACCCGGTGGGGAACCCGGCTCACCCGTCCCAAACGGAGACGAGGATTCCCCGCTAAAATGGGTCCAGAGGCCAGGATCCCCGGTAGACTCAAACCGGGGTCGGGGGCTGTTACTTAAACCGGGGTCGGGGCCAGGGATCCCCAGTGGACTCAAACTGACGGATATTCTTCGTAGGGTTTGACAAGGATTTGACCGGGGACGAAATGTTAATCCCCGTACTCACAGGGACCAGGGCTGTTACTAAAAACCGGGGACGGCACCGGGGATTATAAAATTATGTAATAGCTTCCAAACAACGAAAATCGACACAATTCATTTCTCATTTCGGGTTTCCAACACCATCCACAATGCAACTACATTGCATATATATACACACATCTATACATGTATATATAACAAGATCCAAATCTAAGAGAGCAAAACCAGCATAGACAACCAGTTTAGAAGTGTCTATATCTCAGGCACCATACTTGGCTATCTTTTCTTCAAGTGAAGTTTTATCAGCACCAACCACCTGATCGATCTTATTGCCGTTTCTTATAAAAAAGAACGATGGCACGCTGCTGATATTCCACTGTGCCGCCACGTCTCTCGCTTCATCAATGTCGATTTTCAAGAACGCCACTTTTGGGTACTTTGCCGCCATCTTTGTATAGAGTGGACCCATGAGCCGACAGGGTCCACACCATGTTGCCGTGAAGTACAGAATGGCTAATTGGTTTGACCGTGATGAACCACTAAGCCTTGTTTCCAACTCGACCGCTTTGTGAATGGTAACTACTTCACCTGAAGATTTGCATACGGAAACCGTGAACGTAATAAAGACAGTGTATCTACCCGTATCTATGACGGGTTCATCAATCTTGTGACTAATCATTGTCTAGTTCGTACAAATATTAGTAATAAATCTTGAGCTCGGTTCTATGTTTCGGTTATTTTTTGCGATAATTCAACATGGTCTTTTTCACTTCCGTTATCGCAGACCCCAATTCTACTTTGAGTTCATATACGTTCTTCGCCATCATTGGTTCCATAATAGAGCTCTGATACCAATTTGAGACGACGTGATACTTTTTATTAAAATAATTTATGAGAAAACTAAAGTCAATGGTTGGTCGATGTTTGAGAGGTTGACCATATCCACTAACACCGTAAAAAACTAATAATAATTTGTGAGGGAGAGAGAGAGTTGGTTTCAAACGAGAACAATGACCAAATAAGAAAACATGAGAACGGCCAAATCACGTGTTATTTTACACTAAACTCACGTGTAAAATCACATGTGATTACGAACGACCTAGGTCACAGGCCAAGTCGTCCGTGAACCCCCTCTGTGCACCATGTTCCGTAATCGTATGTGCTTTCAAACTTCCAAAGCAAAATCACATGTGATTTGGCCATTCTCGTGTTCCCTTATTTTGACCTTGTTCTCGTTTGATCTTATATATATATATATATATATATATATATAAAAGGTATATTTCAAATACAACCATGTCCATTTGTTCACGAGAAAACTGCAAAAAAAGTGAAAAATTGATGAACACCATAATAACCATTCATCTGTACGGTATGCACACGTGCATACATGTAATTTGTCTAGTGTGCATAGAAACCAAGAAACATCTTCAATTACTTGTATGCAGATGTGCATACAGATGAATGGTTATTAGAGTGTTTCTCAGTTTTTCAATTTTTAGGGGTTTTCCCTGAACCCCTCTCTCTCTCTATGTGTGTGTATATATATATATATATATATATATAGGAATTATACCCCATATATTAAACTAGGCCAAATCTTTTAGTCTTGCACTATCCATGGTCATCAAGGCAAATCATGTTGTGATATTGTTTAGTAACACAAGCATAAAACACAAATGACATACCATTCTCCGGAGGCGTAGCATCCACATCCTGCATTAAATACAAATTATCCGTAAGCCTCGTATAAATAGTCGTAAACTTAAATGAAAAAATATCAAAACACCAAGGGCCCAAATCAAGGCTTACTAATGCCATAAGGTCTAACCGCTACTCCCTCTGACCCAAAATAAGTATGCACCTTCAAAAGCAAATGCCAACTTTCCAATTCTACCCCTAATTATGAGATAGAGAAATTCATTACTCCCTATGTTATCAAGGGTAGAATTGTCATTTAGTTAACTAAAAAGTGTAATAAATACATGTTTCTAAAATTGTGTGCCTTTTTTCATTATGGACATTTATTATTTATTACCCCCCTCCCATAATAAGTGTCCACATTTCTATTTTAGTTTGTCCCGAAATAATTGTCCACTTCGAAAACAAGTGTCTTGATGGAGAAAATTTCTTGCTCTGTTATTAAGGGTAAAAGTGTCATTTAGTTAATTAAAAAGTGTAATAATTACATATTCCTAAAACTATATGTCATTTTCATTGTCTGAATACGTGAAAAGGAAGACCGAAAGCCAAAGACAAACGAAACTAAGTTTTCAAGATAAATCGTCCTCGCGGAACAAAACTACGAAATAGAAAGTATACATGCCTCGGTTTTAGCTCGGGTTTTTTGCTTCTCGTGTTCGGTTGCTTTAAGATTATTTTCTTTCCTTAACCATTCATACTTCCGGCGATGCTCTATTATCTTGTTAACATTAGGCTCAATCTGCAAATGTATATGAATGCACCCCCAACAAATATTAAAATGACTGATTATGTTTCAAGCATAGCGAATAGACAATAAGGTAAATGAGAACTATAAATATTTTGAGAACATGAGAACCAACTAACATAACAGAAAAACTAATTGAGGTGCGTGTGTGTGCGTGTGTGTGAGAGAGAGAGAGAAGCACCTTTTTAAGAACTGAACCAATCTCCTCATCATGATCGAACGTCGATGCTACACCGAGATCACGTGCTGCCTCTTCCCAAAGACCAAGCATGGCCCTTGCCATTCCACGCATTTTATAGCCTCTTGCTGAGTCAGGATTGATCTGAATATTCGTATGATGTTAGATCTGAGTTGATTCGGCTATACCAATGGCTAATTACTAAAACCACCACTTTATGAGAGGTCTTATCATAAAGTGACCACCTTTTTCGAAATTTGTACAAAATAACCATGAATTCTGCTAAGTGGATTATGTGAAATCCATTTTTTTCCGAAAATCCCCTTTCTTGATTTTTTGAGCGAAGAAGTGGATTTTGCAAGACCTGTTTTCCGAAACCTAAGTACAAATTGTATAAATTCCAAAAATGTAGTCAAGATTCACTCAAAAAGTCAATAACGGGATTTTGCAAAAAGAAAAAGAAAAAAGTGGAGTTCGCAAAACGCATTTTGCAAACCCTAAAAAAATACAAATTGTATTAAATTTCAAAAAAGTAGTCAAGATTAGCTCAAAATCAATAAAGGGAATTTTGCGAACCTACAAACGTACAAAATATACTAAATTCCAAAAAACTAGTCAAGATTCACTCAAAAAGTCGATAAAAGGGGATTCCAGAAAAAAAAAGTGGATTTCGCAAAATCCATTTTCGAAATGAGTGGTTATTTTGTGGAAATTTCAAATAAAGGTGGTCAATTTGTAATGTGACACCAGTTGAAGTGGTTATTTTAGTAATTAACCCTACAATCGAAGGTGTGCAGACAGACCTGTAAAGCTGCATCAGCATCTCGGATTGCAGCATTCGGTTTTCTTAGTTTGATAAGTACACTAGCTGCAATTTTGTATTAACAGAATAAGGGACTGTTTGTTAGCTGCTTAATTAGCTTAATAGAACTAACAGCTTATTCAGTCAGCTATACATGACTGTTTGGTAGTGGCTTAATGATATAGAAAGTGGCTTATTCAGTAAGTTTTTAAGGGGGGAGATATATGCTAAAAGCCAAGTTGTTCTCCAACCTGCCCCTCCCAATTAAAAAACAAGCTCCTCCTATCTATAAAAAAACCTCCTAACAAAAACATTCTCAATCTATATAAACGGATAAATCCATACAGAGAGCTTTATCCATACAAGACCTGGGGCCTGTTTGTTGGCAGCTTAATGAGCTTAATGGGACTCACAAATTAATGAGCTTAATGTGATTCACAGCTTATTCAGTTAGCCATGCATGATTGTTTCATAGTGGCTTAATAATATAGAAAGTGGCTTATTCAGTAAGTTTTTAGGGGAGGAGCTTTATGCAGAAAGCCATGTTCAGTTTTTTCCAAACGCCCCTCCTAATTAAAAAAAAAAAGCTCTTTGTATCTATGAAAAACCCTACAAACAAGAACCTTCTCAATCTATACAGACGGATTAATCCACACAAACAGCTTTATCCATACGGGACTTAATGGAAAACCAACCAAACAGCCCCTTAGAAATAAATAACCAAAGGGGCACAAAGACGACAGCGAACTAAGGATTCAAACTTTTTTTTCACATAACCAATAAATACCTCTAGCCGCATACAATATGGGTGAACTTGGATTCAGCAAAATAGCTTGGGTTAATTGATCTATGGCTTCATTCAGTTTACCTACAAGTGTTGTCAACGCAGTGAACATGCATATTCTTCCATCGTAGACAATCTAAACAAGAAATCAACAACGTACAGATAGAACATGCCTTCAGAGACTGCATCCATAGCTTTTAGTTTCAAGATTTGTGCAAGATCACGGCTTACATCGTGAACTTCAACCGAGAGATTTCCCATCTGCCATCAAAGTTGAAAATTGATGATAAGAACAAGAAGAAAAAGGACCAGAGGATCAATGGCCCACCAGTATCATCCGGGATACCGGTAAATCCTAGCCTCCCAGGAGGTCAAAGTTTTAAACCTCTACCAAAGGTGACCATCATGCATAAGTATTTGCCGTATATAAATTGTAAAAGCCCAAAGCAACAGGCTGGCTCGATACTTTCGAATCCAACTTAAGACTGGTGGAAATTATTGGTAGCCCACAACTTGAGGCTTGTAAGCAGCTCACAAATCCCATTTGTATCCATGTGGGACGATTTGTTACATAAATATTACTATCTTAGTTTGTTCCAAAATATGTGTCTGCATTACTATTTTAGTTTGTCCCAAAATAAGTGTCCACTTCCAAAAGTAAATGTTCTACTTTCCCATTCTTCCCTTAATTATGAGATAGAGAAAATTTATCTCTACTTAATTAAGGGCAAAATTGTCCCTTTGTTAACCAAAAAGACTGTGTGCCTTTTTCATTGTGGACATTTATTTTGGGACGGAGGGAGTATATAGTTCAAAAAGGACTACAAATTTCATTGCTTTTTCCCACCTTTTGTGGAGGATCATTATCAGGATCTACAACATCAGAATCGTCTAATTCGAGGTCAGACTCAACAATGTCCTCGTTGAATGCGTGTCCATTATCTGCACCCTTCATATGAATTATGTGGTTACACGAAAAGATTATATTAAAACCATAAATCTTTAAAAAAATGTAATATTTAAAGTAAATAAAGAGTAAATTACAATTTTCGTCCCTGTGGTTTGTTAATAATTTCAATTTTAATCCCTATGCTTTGCAATTTATCGCTATTTTAGTCCCTGGACAAATTCCTACCTCTAAATACAAGGGACCAAAACATAAAGAGTTGTAAACCATAGGGACTGAAACAATAATAATTGTAAATTATAAGGACGAAAATCGCAATGAATTACAAACCATAGGGATGAAAATTGAAATTTCCAAACCATAGGGACAAAAATCGCAATTTTTAACAAACTACAAGAACGAAAAATGTAATTTACTCTAAATAAAAATTCCATCGATATAAACAGAGGCCAAGAGTCCAAAGAACTTTGGTAATACATTCTAAAGTGATGAAAAGTGACAATAGATTAGAGGTAGTCTCCCCTATGCCTTATCCTTACTTGCAATTGCAATTTCAATTAAATGGGTTTACTTGAAGTAAGCTTTCATGATTAGGAATTTTTTAGCAAAAGATTGATTACCGGCAACCCTGATTGCCCCCACAATGAACCTGCCCCCACAGGAACCACAAGTGAGAAGGCATTTTAGAGCTAACTTAGCGGCTGAGGGTAGTGGAGGGGTTCAAGCCCGTCTCCCGTAGGATTCAAACTTGAACCTGTTGTGTATTTGCACAAACTCGTTCCACCCCTTCGCCAACTGAGCTACACGCCCGAGGGCTTTCATGATTAGAAATTTAACATAAGATGGTGCAACAAATATGAACATGTCAATTGTCATGGTGGTGGAAGTAGCCGATATTATTAGAGGGTGGTCTGCGAGCTGAGAAAGCTATATTTGAACGATTACTACTTCTTGGACCGGTGATAATGAGGAGTTATATCTAGCCAGGTTAACCTTAAGAGGTAGCTCAACTAGTTAATCTTGGATTATGATGATAGACTCAGATTCAGGGGAAAACCACAAAAAAAGAAAACTGCGAAATACCCTGATAACCATTCATTTGTCGAGTATGTACATGTGCATAAAAGTAATCGAACAATAACTTTTATGCACATGTGCATACCGGAGAATGAATGGTTATTAGGGTGTTACTCATTTTTCCATTTTCTGTGGTTTTCCCTTAAACCCACTCCTATGATAATATTGAGCTGCGCGGCCCCTCTTTGTGGATTACTATTATCAGTAGCACTTCTAGTCATTACAATCAAAACAAAGAGTGTTAGACTAATTACTGGTTACCAGAGTAAAACATACAATTTATTTTTGACAAGAGGTGAGATCCCACATCGGTTGGAGAGGGAACAAAGGTTGTCTTACAAGAGACTGGATACTTCCTCTATCAGACGCGGTAGATGTGCATAAAGCAGACAATATCTAGTATAGTCGGTTGGGGATGTTAAAGTATAGGTCACCCTTTCAAGTCCCCTTAGGACTACTAGAAGGTGTGTCAAACTGTTAATTTCAGGGCCCGTAGGATTAGTCGAGGTGCCCTGGACACCCATGGTTACCAAAATATCTAGCCACGTTAGGTAGGTTACGTGAACTTCATTTTCATCTCTACAGATTTCCAAGAATCCTGACTTCAAAAAAAGACATTGTTCAATGCAAAAACTAGTCTTCTATCCTTAAAACACCAAAAAAGTCCCACCTGTTTACGATTATGATTGCGATATCAAATCCAACCCTGGAAATTCAAGATCCCAAATTTTTTTTACTATCCGGTGCTTCAATACAATACGAAATAGCGAGATATATCTGCGGATTCTGATGTGAATGCTAAAACCTAATCGAAAGCAAACTTCTGATGCAGAACAGCGAAAACCAATAGTAACCGATTCGAACTCACTTCCCTCATCCCAAATTACAGCCCAATTGATAAACCCTAAAAGTAGTAAACCTAATCCATTCACATTTCAATATCACAATCCTTTTTAATTGCTAATATTTCAATATTTGCACTAAAACTAAGAACTCACTTGAAATGAATACCGATTTTATGATCAACAGGCACTATAATCAAACAGTAAAGCAAGAGATGGAACTCACCGATGTTGATGATGGTGGGATTTTGGCGCCGAGGCTGAAATCGTATAAATTAACAAATCAAAATAACTCCAAATGGTACCAAGCGCATCGATATAAGCTTAAATTGATATAAATTTCTCAAAATGGTAGAAATAGTAAGAGATTATACCTCTGGAGAAAAGTTTTGAAAAACCCTAGAGATGGATTGTGGAGGATTGAAGGATCGGATTTGCAGCTCTCAACGAACAGCTTGAGTTCCTCAATCTTGGAATCATCCATTACCCTCTGCTCAACTTTGAAGTTTGCTCAAGAACAGGGAAAAACCCCAATAGCTATAAGTTATGGAAAAGGATTTCTTGGAAGACAAGAACATTGAATTGAAGGGGGGAAACGGATTTTTGTTATAAAATAAAGACTTGGGTAATTTGATTTTGTTAGATTTTCTTTAAATAATTCATTTTTTAGAGTATCCCAATTGAGGATTTTTTTTGTTCCGTGAATTATACATGATTGTTTGGTAACGACTTAATGATACATAAAATCGTTTATTCGATAAACTTTTAGGGGAGCTTTATACGGAAAGATAAATTTTTTCTCTCTCAAACGTTTCTTTCTTCTATAAAATAACCCTCTAAAACAAAAATTGTTCCAATCTATACAGATAGATTAATCCATATGGACAACTTTACCCATATGAGTTGTTTACCTCTTAATAGTTCCATTAAGAGACAACCTCTAAATCGCTAAGAGGTAAACTTTGTTTGGCAAAAAAAAAAAATCTGTCTCTTAATGGTTCTAAAACCCTTTGAATGATTTTGTATATTGGATCTAACTTAACCATTCGACACCCTAATTCTATTGTAAGTAATTATCAAACAATTATATTTCATTTTGCACTATATCATGAGAGCCGCTTAATCATTCTGCATAAAACCATTCTGCAACTGTCGAACAACCTCTTACTTGGTGTCACCTTACCTTATCTGGTGAGTATGGTAACGACTGAGAATCTTACCCCGTATGAGACATATAACAAAGATCAAGAATCTGATCCGGTAAGTGAAGAAAAGACTTGGACCAGATAATGCAACCATAATATCCAGTCCAGTCCAGTCTAGTCTCGTCTCATGCACCAAAAGCAACCGTAATGATTCAAATGTTAAATACAAAACAAGATCTAAGAAGTAAAGAAGGAATCAAAAGAATTCTACTTGTAAAACTCAATTAATACCATTGAAACCACAACCCTCAAATAACCCTATATCATATGCATACAAGATCAAAAAATAGTAAAGGTTCACATAAATGCATAACTTCAGATTGAACTCATCAAACAAGAATTCTACAGAACCTATCTGCATTTCTTCGGTTAAATAATCGAAAAATACTTGCTAATTAATACACGAATAACGTTACAAGACGCCTGCGGCTAATATCCAAGCTACGATTACAAAATATATATATCGGAATTGTTCCGTCAACAAAACCACTTGCTCTCTGAATCAATCTTCATCGTTATCTGAACTCTCGTATGCTGCAAGCAAGCTTTTGATAGGATTGGCTGCTTCCATGTGTTCATTATCGGTCTTGGTTTGACTTATTGACCCGTTTTCATCCTCGACATTAGTATGTGGCTTACATTCTGATGAAACAGGCTCGGTAGAAAGAAGGGCGGACACGTTACTGTTAGCTTGCGTTAAAACCTTCTGTCTTTTTGGCTTCACTTCCACTACTTTTTTCAGTAAATCTTGTTGTCTGAACAGAATATAACATAAAATCAGATGGTTTTGTTTGTCTTTAAGATGAATATGTGACCTATGGGCAATGTTCTAAATCACATGAGGCACTGCATGGCGGCGAGGTTAAGCCTCAAGCCTTAGACGCCACGGAGAAGGCCATGACGTTTTTCAAAGCGTGACTTATGGCGGCAAATCTGTATATCATATATACATATATATAAACATATGTTTTTTTACTACTACCCAACGAGTCAATGAATATTAAACAATTTAAATTAGATTATATACTAAAAACTAAAAAAGGAAGACACTAAAAAGGTAAGAAAACTCAAACACCGCCATTACAAAAACCGCATATTGAGCCACGACGTGCCACAGGTTTAACATGGTGTGAGAAACGAGCCTTAAGCCTCGGAAGACCACAGCAGCTGTCGTAGCGAGACTTTTAGAACACTGCTTATGGCGGTTCAAATGAGATGCGTAATATTTTGAGAACTGGGAATCAACTATTTCATTAATTATTCATGATGAATGTCGTGATAGATATCCATGATGAAAAATATTCATAATGAAGATGCATGATTCATGATTATTCAGGGTTATTCATCATGAATAATACAAGAAACAGTTGGTTCCCAGATTCTCATTTAAGCTTTCCTCTATGACTTCTTTAAGAATAATGATGTTAAAGGGACAAAGAGGCACCTTATTCCAGTCTTTGGCTTTGGCTCCACGCGAAGTGGCAATGGAATTGAAGCCGGTGATGAATCAGCTAAACTTGCAGCTTTGTTATAAGGAGTCAAAGATAAAACAAAGAAACAAAGTACAGCTTTGAATACGATACGAACAAACCATGCGATATTAAGAAATGAAATATCCTAAAAAGAAACAGACGGGACAAGGAAGATTGCTTAACCATCTTAATACAGTTGTGTACGGTGTACCATCCTATGGTCCACGGGTTTCTTTATTTTCTTCTTATGTAAGGGCATTTGGATGTTTGATCAATGTGAGATCCCACATCTCAGTTGGGGAGGGAACAAAGGTTGCTTTACAAGGGACTGCCTATCACACGCATTTTAAAACCATGAATCCAGTTGTGGATGAAGCGTACAATATCTAGTACAGTAGCCTGGGGATGTTAGAAATGGTATCAGATCCGGGAACCAGATTGGGGATGTTACAATATCTGGTTAGCTTTCACTCGTTCAGTACCATTTTTCTAGGCATTCTTAAGGAGATTTTCCAGCTTTCAGTAGGATTCTATATGCATCTATGAGATCAAGTATGGATTGAGTTTAGTAGTTCCTCATATACAACTATTTACTCTATAGAGATATACAGCATCACATTTTACACACCTGAGGAAGTTACAGCCCAACTGAGCCCCGGGATCCTCCCACTGCTTGGGAGCTTACGGTTTCATGTTCTATTTCACTTCCCGATAATGTACATGCCATGTCCATGGACTTCAAATGGAGATTTCCTTTTACGTCTTGGTCCAGTAGGGCGGTTCAGTGAGGCGTTGTCGAGGCGTACGCCCCAGTGATCTGCTTTGGTCACGGTTTTTTGGGTTTTTTATAAGTAGTAGCACTTATTTTTATAGTATAAGTGTATTTTTAATATTTTAAAACCCAAAAAGCTAGTACTTTCTCCTCTCAATCGAAAAGTGTGGTTTGACCCTTCCTCTTCCTCCAAGCAGCCAATTTTTTTCACACCCACTCAGCCTATCTCATGGTTTCACTCTTTCCTCCGTCAATAACCATTGAACCAGCGCCCTTAGTAATTTAGTATCATGTATATTGTATATAAATGTGTATATATTTGTGTAGTATATATACATATTTTGGTGTGCATATATTTCTGCCTCGGGGCTTACGCCTCCGACCGCCTCGCCTCGTTGAGGGAAAACGCCTCGAGGCCCGATTCCGCCTTTTAAAATCTTGTGGACTCTCTCCCTTTGCTTGGTTTGGCTTGTTACATTCCCTTGTGCTAACTTGTTGCTGTTGGTTAACTTACGGTTGGTCAACCATTTTGTTAGTTGAGTGGGCACCTCGTTTCTCCTCGGATACAAGGTTTTGTTAATTAGTACTTATAGTTTTGGGAAGCCTAAATTGTTTCTGTCACATTATCCAATTTGTTGTATGTTGGGAATGATTGATATCCATTCTCCAACCTGATAAGGACGTGTAAGAATATAAAAGAACTAAGAATTTGGCTCTAGTTCGGGTTCTATTGTGTTCTTCAGATTGCATGCGCAATTTCTGTTCATTAATATATGTTTTTCTAACTGAAAGCACCTATAGTATAAAAGCAGTATCATTCTACAACTTACTGTATATTTTTGGTCTCTTGTACTATATAACGACGTTATAAAACGAATATATATATATATGGGAAATTGACCATGATAGCCATCACGACCCCCCCCCCCTTCTTTTAACTTTATAGCCACCTTTTCAACCTAATGACTGATTCAGGCGGAAATTAACTTTATACCACTTACATAATTTCCGGCTAAATCGGTCATCAGGTTGAAAAGGTGGCTATAAAGTGAAAGGGGGGCCAGAATGGCTATTTCAGTCAATTTCCCTTATACAAATTCAAATATTTTTCAGTAATCCTTGTTGAAGATGTTCATTAAATTATAGCTTTAATTTGTGGAATCAATAAAGATTAGAGTTGAAATGTTGATTGTCAGACAAAAACTGCATAAAGCGAACCAGAATGAGGGTGGTTTTCATTTGATCGCTCCTCTCTCTCTCTCTCTCTCTATATATATATATATATATATATAGAGAGAGAGAGAGAGAGACGAAGGATCTTGTGATGGTGTGAGAATAGGAGTTAAGGTGGGAAGTGTAAGAAGGGATTTGGAATTGGACCCTTGATCACTTTGAATTAGTGTTGATCTAATGGTTCAAATTAAGTCTCAAAATAACCCATGAATTAGCTTAGAAGGGTATTTTCAATTGATCAATTCGAATTGAGTGGAGATCCCTTCTTACCCTTCTCACAATAACTACTATTCTTACCGGAAACCAACTCTATATATTTGTACGTATGTATATATACATATATATTATAGTTCATTCATTTTTATGCACCTCATGGGCAATGCCTTCTAACAAACAGAAGGATATTTTGAACGCAGCAAATGCACGTTTTTCAGTGCGACGTAATAAGCGTTCTGCATCCTCTTCTGCTTCCATCTGCTCCTTGAGATAGAGCAGATCGTCACTGTCCAAGGCTGCAAATTCGAACTTAAGGAAACCCAAGGCCTATATGCAACATAAATAAATACAATAAAACGCAAAAGAAGTGAGCTTATTATACCGCCTCGTCCATGAAGGTAGCCACCACGTTCTCCTGCTACTTCTTGCATCTGTGTACATTAACCAACCAATAGAACAAGCCAAGATCCCTGCCAGGGCATGTTATCAGAATAACCTTCTAAATAAATGCTTACTCAAGTAAATTTTGAAAGCCAAACTATTGCAAGCTACTCCCTCACTCACAAATTAAGGGACTGTTTGGTTAGTTTTTCATGAAGTCATGTATGGATAAAGTTGTCTCTGTGAATTAATTTGTCTCATTGTCTGTATAGATTGGGAAGGTTTTTGTTTGGGAGAGTTTTTTCCTAGACGAAAGGAGCGTGTTTTTTAATTGGGAGGGACAAGTTTGGAAAAAGATTGGCTTTCTGTATAAAGCTCCCCCTTAGAAGCTTATTCAATAAGCCACTTCCTATATCATTATGACACTACCAAACAATCATGTATAGCTGATCAAATAAGCTGCGAGTCCCATTAAGCTTATTAAGCTGCTAACAAAAAGGCCCTAAGTGTCCATATCTCTATTTTAGTTTGTCCCAAAATAAGTGTTCACTTTCCCATTCTACTCTTAATTATGAGTTGGAGACGTCTCTCTTTATTATTAAGGATAAAAGTGTTGTTTAGTTACTTAAAATTTGTAATAATTACACATTCCTAAAATTGTGTCATTTTTATTGTGGACATTAATTTTGGTACGGAGGGAGTATATTATAAAACATTTGGAGATAACAAGCTTAACATAGAGTATCTAGGACATGTATATCGTTCTATACTTTTATTTTATTAACCTAGATATCCAACCCGCTATGCGAGCCGACTAATCCCAAGGCGACCACTTGCTTTGCAGATAGCCTGGAGTCACCGCATTTGAACCTCCGTGGCCACAAGGGGATTTTTATTCCTCCTTGGATTTGAATCTGGGACCTCCAGGTACTTTTGACCTATGAAGCTAAGCTCAAACCAATCAGGCACCACCTTTGTGGTTCGTTCTATAATTACTTCTCGATCAATTGATTTGGTAAAGGGTGTATTAACCAGCTAAAATATAAATTATTAGAGTTTTTGTCCAAAATAGCCAATTTGACCCCACCCCCACCCCCACCCCCACTTTATAGTCACCTTTTCAACTTATTGGCCGAAATAGCCGAGCTTATGCAAGTAACACTTAAGCAACTTGCATAACCCACTTTTTTCAATATAATATTCAGAAAAAAAGAGACATTGTGCAAGTTGCATAAGTGCTACTTGCGTAATGTCTACGTGGACAAGCTATGTGTCACTCACTCCCCCGATGGACTGATTGCGTAAGTAAATGAGGTTTGGGAGTATGTGCCACATAGCTTGTCCACATAGACATCGCAACTTGCATAATGTCTACTTTTTCTCAATATTGCATTGAAGAAAGTGGCTTACGCAATGCATGCAACTTGCGTAATATCGGCTATTTCGGTCAATAAGTTGAAAAGTTAGCTATAAAGTAAAAAGGGGTGGTTCAAATTGGCTATTTTAAACAAATCCCCAATTATTAAGTCCTCTGAGTCTGCAAAGATCAAAAAGAAACTGAATGGGTGTACTAATCAGTCGCATTCCGTCTCAAACAAATTACATACATTGTAAATGGATGATTCCAATTTCCAAATAAGTAGATGATTCCAAATAATGTGACAAAATTAGCACAAAATAAACCACCATGAAAGCAATAGCTACCCACAATAACACATGAACAAAACAAACCAATGAGAGGAGAAGCGGGATTCGCTAACCTTAGCAACCATTCGTTGAAAAGTAATATCTTCATCATCTATTCTATCTTTCCCCTTCCCCAATTTCTTATCTGCAATTCACATACAAACACATAACAAAAAAATGGGAAAATAGTTGTGTGTGCATATATATATATATATATATATATATATATATATATATATATA